GGACGAGGTGGTGGCTTGATTTTCCCAACTTTATTTTCTATCTGAATTCTACGCGCAACGGTCTGGGGCTCTGTATCTGCTGCGGGTCGAAAAATTGATTTTTTTTCTACTTATTATCTACTTTATGACTTACAAATTCTGGAATCCTCCATCTTTTACGTTTGACCTAGTAGTCTTAAACTTGCCAGATTGTATCTCCAAAGTCGATGCGTGTAGTAAGAGATGGATGCTTAAAGCAGGATTCATTTTAAAGAAAAAGTTGAATTCAAATGAAATCAACGCACGCACAAACTAATACATGATGTTGACTGCGTTCATTCCGTCCGATCGAGGGTTCCGTATTTTCTCAGCATTTTTTGAGAAGAGGTCATACATTCTGGCGTAGTTGTTTCTGATATCCTGGACAGCCATCCTCAGTCGAATGTAGGTCGTCTCATCCAGATCGCTGATCGCGCGTTCATAGTCGACGACGCCGGGCCACTTCAGGCGTTTTGTGCACAGTTTTCCACGAAATGATAAGTAGTCGCAGTAAAAGTCCAACATCGTGGTTGCATCCGTCTCCGTCTTGGCAGCCTCCATGATTATCTCCTCTTGGACTGAGACGCCAAAGTTGTTGCCGTCTTCTATTCGCGGAACATTCATCATCACCCACATTCGCAGCAGCTGTACATCCTCGCCCAGCTGCAGAAGCAGCGGTTTCACGGCCGTGTAGGCTTCGTCAATGAGAGGGTTTGAGGGAATTGCCGTCTTTGTACGGGGTATGGATTCGGTACTGACAGTCTCCGCATTGGTCAGCGGTGTTGCACTCTGCTCGCGGGCTTTCTTCCTGTTTGCCTCAATATCGAAGAGCGGTTGTTTAAGCAGCTGATTTGCAGCCTGAAGGTGCTCGGGAAAATTTTTGCTCAGGCGTAGTTCCGCTTCGCGGTTCAGCTCGGTTTTAAAGCTCTCGACAAGCGCCTCAGACATCTTGGGGACCTCGCAACCTGTCTGCCACTTGCGGGTGGTACGGATGCTTTCAACTTGATGTGGTCGGAAAAATCGATATTTACCGCATGCGCGTCTGTGAATTTGGTGCACTTCCCGCGTGCAGCCAAACTACACTCTGTCAATCGTGGTTTCCAAACTGATTTCTTCAACGTCTCTGTTTTGTTCTCATTTCTACTTACGGCGACAGTAGCTTATATAGGCCCACTCATTCATCCCTACTTCCTGCATGTTTTCCTACGAAAACAGTGGTTATCGGGTTTTATGGGTGGGGAATTAGGACACGCCGTGGAATATACTTAAATAAATGCTAAATGTATTTTTATTCAACTGTATTTAGAAGTGTTGTTGATTTATATCTGTAGATTTTCCTAATCTGTATTATGGTTTAACTTATTTCGGAAAACCCGATTATCAATTTGTCGGTTTCTTGAATTTCCCGAAAAATTGAACTGGCGGTTAGTAGGTCGTCTACTTCAACTAACCTGTGGTCCAACTTACCGTTCTGGAGTTAGATAAGTATAGTTCGCGGCGCCAAGCGCCGCGCACACCCTGAAATTACATGCGGCACAACTTACA